AATTTTCTGTCTGTTTTGGTTGTATTTTTGTTTCTAAATCTCTGTTGTCCTTAAATTTCGTGGTGCAAGGAGGCACAGTATTTTTACGTATGCCTCTATCTTGGCTGGAGTCTCCCTTTTTTTCTTTTTGAAAATGTTTACTATCAGAAAGTATCGATAGGGTTAAGCAGTACAGCAAAAAGAGAATTTTTGTTGCTGTTGTTGACACTATTACAGATGTCCCTCTTTCCCCCCTTGTGCCCACCTCTACCCAGTCCCCACCGCGTGCCCCTCCCCTGGCCTTCACTACACTATTTTCTGTTTCCATCGCTCTGCATCTATCTTCTTTGACCAATCTCTTCTCTTTTAAGAAGGATCCCTGTGATTCTCCAGTAAAGAGAACAAATAAAAATGTAGCAAGAAGAGTGTCAGTTGTATGAGAGGCAGGAGTTACAGCTTTCAGAACAACATCCTGTAAGAGATTATGAATAATACCCTCGGTACTTTTACAGGTGTAAATATTCATGTCTTTTCTAAGTGACTGCTTCATTCCTATCACCTATTTTGAATAGTATTTTCTCATAATTCACTGCTGTTTAAAACAAAATAATTTGTCGATGGATGAGCCATTTACAATATCTGTTTTGTTGTTACCATTTAGTATTCATAAATGAAGTCCTGGTTTGGGGAACACTGACCATCTGCCCTACACTGCTGACCAGACGCTGCTGACCATACCCAGTTTGACAGTAAAATTCCACCTAGTCTTTCCACGGCATGCAGCACCCTAGTTAGTGCAGTAATTGAGTCATTTTCAGGACACCTCTGGTCACGCAGTCTTTGTCAGAGGATCCAAATTCACAGACAAATGCAGAGCTGAATACCCCTGGCAACTGGGCTGTGCCCAGGACACCCTTGCAGCCTTTACAGGGAATGTGACCTCTTCTTGCTGCTGGTAGGTATTTGAAGAAATACTATTCTGGCTTGTGGGAAGCATGGAGTTTATCCATTTTAAGAGTTTTTCAGAGATGTTTTTAACTCTTCTTCCCTTTTTTTATTTAATCGATGTGATATATTTTCATATAACTTTATGATATATGGCATAAATATATAATATGACATAAATAAATAAATGTACCTTGTCTTAAATTCAAGGATAATGTTATCCATTGAAAAACACTGTTCCACCCTGGCTGGTGTAGCTCAGTGGATTGAGCGTGGGCCTGCAAACCAAACAACTGTGGTTCAATTCCCAATCAGAGGACATGCCTGGGTTTCAGGCCAGTTCCCAGCAGGGGACACAGGAGAGGCAACCATACATTGATGTTTCTCTCCCTCTCTCCTTCCCTTCCCTTCTAAAGATAAATAAATAAAACCTTTTTTGAAAAAACACTGTTCTGTAGAAATAGAGGAGCCATGAACACTCTATTCTACATAAATGGTGCACCCTGTAGCACAACTTTGTATGTATGAAGAGTGCAGATTACAGTGTATGTAGTGCTTTTGCAGTTCAAGCATGAGTGCAGCCAGCTCTGCTCAAGAACTTCTTATTCTTATATAATCTTTAATAATGCCGTGCAATTGCATGACTCTGAGTTAGGGCTGAAGTTTTATTATTAAATCTTATCCTCCCTTTATAGCACATGATATAATAGCAAGTATATATTGCTTGATCCATTAAATACTTCTAAGACATCAATGTCTTTGAACTGATGTGATATGCATTCATATCTTTTATCTAGTAATTCCAAATTATACTTGGAAACCAATTTCCTCTCTGCTGGAATAGGATGATACAATTCCTAAAGAGGAAACAGATGCTCTAATTAGACACTGGTCTTTGTGGGCCTGACCAAATTGATTCATTTCCTTGTATTTTACTTTTTCTGTATATACAGTGGGGACCAAAGTGCCAGATCCAAATCTGGCCAATATAAAACAATTATGTGAAGTGTTCTCTAATCTCTTCTTTAATCTGCATAAATGGGATGATTGCCATCTATAGTGGGATATTGTTCATTGTTATTTTCTCAGCATGTTGCTGGAAAAAAGGAAAGTTTTCAGTAAGTATGGGAGTTAGGTGGTTAGAATCTTGTGCTGGTCAGCAGTTACACATAATTTCACAATCAATGTAAATAAAGGGGAAATTTAATTCTTAATCTTGTCCTATTAAAGCCTCCTATTTATTCACTGCTTATTCATTAAAATAACATTTTAGTGAAGGCAGTATTTTAAAAATGTAAAAATGCATATACTTGAAAGTAATTGAATTATGGATTCTAATGTTCTCAGGTGATAGAATATTTACTTATCACACAGAATGTTTCAGCTTTTATTTTAAACTGAGTTTCTCTCTGAGTCTGCATTGCTCAAAGAAAGCCTAAACATATACATTACATAACTCTACCATGTTAACAAAAACTAAGTAGGCATTTTTAAATATCAGAAGTGGTCTAACCAAATACTATAATTTACATGGAGACTGCAAGGATTCAACACAGAGTTAAAACCTTTGTAGTACAATAATGTAAATAAATCCTACTTTTGCATGGCTATTTGAATATTTATTCTACTTAAGACCTATGACATAAATAGGAAATTTGAGACATACAATCCGGACTTCTGCATGTTAATATGAAAACAACCTAGAAATAACAACGCCATAATTTATCCAATAATTTAGAAAGCCAGGGTGAAACTGATGTACTGAGTCCTGTTTAATTAAACATGCGCCATAGGATGCCAGCACAACACAACAATGTAGACAGCACAAGGATGTTAGTTTGCACATTTGTCCAGCAGTCCTACCCAGAGATTCCAAGACAGCTCCAGGCGGTTTGTGGTAGGGATGGCATGGTAGATGGGTGGGTCACCCAGGTCTCCCCATCTGTGTCCAGAGGATGTCAGAGTATAGTGACTGAGTTTATGCAGACAAGTGAGGCTTCAAATCCAGATGATCGCATCTCACCACTTCACTCTCTGTTCATCACCTTAGATGCCTTATATGATATCGCAGTTACTCTAAGCTTAAAACTTTAATTTTTTAAATTACTGAGGATTCATAAAAGAACTTCTGAGTCATAAAAAAATCAATAAAATGTTTCCAAACTATTCGAGAGCAACTGCAATGAATTCTTCTAAGGCCCACTATCAGGGGACTGTTCAATGCTATGATGTCCATCATTTGAAAATGGATTGAAGATGAAAACTATATCTTGAATGACTTATTATTATTCATCACCCAAGGTAGATTTCTAAATTTACATTTTTTAAACTTATGGCTATGTATTACCCCATTATTCCTTAATAACTTTGAGAGCTAAAAAGCAATTTTCACTCACCAACATCAGAGAAGGAGTTTTCATGTCCCCACCCAAGGGAGAGTTTTCCCCCTCCATATATTTTCAAAAAGATATTTTGAAACTAAACAATTTAGAAGTTGATTAATGCCCATCAAGGTAAGTAAACAAAACCTGCTGGTGACACTAACACACTTTCTCACACTTAACACTGAGCTATAGGAAATAAATATTTGTAGAAATTCTCATTCCTGTTTTGAATTTATCCCAAAGGAAAAAAATACTTTTTAAAAACCTGTAATTAGTGTTCATAGTCTCGGATGCAAACTGCATTTGGTTGGGCAAACCCAAGTGTCAATACTCCACATAAGGTGAGATAAAATAAAGGTACTTAGGTTGCGGACAATACTTCCTTGTGTGTGGTAGCGTGTGGTACTTCCAGAACCAGGTATTACCAGGTTTACCTGACTACCAGGAGCTGTCTGGGACTAAGGAATAAAGCATATGTAACCCATAGTTCACAGTGGAAAGAAATCCAGTAGAGAGAAATATGAGGGCGTTATCATTGCATCTTCCTGGCTCTCCCTAAGACAAACGGGATGAAGAATAGGAGAAAAGGGGGAGGGAAAGAATGAATAGGGATTTATTTGTATCTCATTTGCTCCTCACAGAAATTTATGAGGTTGGGACATTATACATTTATAAAATTCTCAGTCTTCAAAAACAATACACAATAAGTTGCAACAAATTTGGCCAAGTTTTAGGAGAGATCCATGGGGACAAAGTGGGGCGAAGGTAATGAAATCCTCCGTATAAAGAAGCGGTAATTACTAAGCAGGAAGTTTAAGGAGCAGGTTAGCAGGCGCTTGATCCATTTTAGAACGCTACGCTCTGGACAGCTAGTTCCGCAAGGGGGCGCCAATAACCGCCCGCCTGGGCATATCAGGTTTCAGGCATTTCCTGAGCAGTCACAGCCGCCCAGAACCAGAAAGCCCTGGATTATTTTCAGGTGACAGTACCCTTTCTTACTCCGAAAGGGTAAAGACAAAGAAAGAAGGGGCTGGATCAGAATGGGGGATTATCACTAGTTTTACCACTAGTGTAAAGAGTCACAACCAAGCTCCAGCCTTCTTCACCCCATGCCTCCTACACACACACACACACACACACACACACACACACACACAGCCAGGCTGCCACTAAGAGGCCAGAGCAGCCTCGTCAACTATCCTCCCTTATTCCGGAGAAGTAGGCACCAAACACGCGCCTTGCCCCTCTTCTCCAGCTGTTAGAACTCTCGGAGAAGAACTAGGGGAATACGGAGGCTGTTCGCAGCTTGTGCAAAAACACAGTCAGTCGCTGCTGAAAACCCAAGAAGCCAGGTGCAGAGGCGATCGCGTAGCCGACTGAGCCGTGGCATCCCCGGGCGTGGGGTGACAGCGCCGAGGGCTCCACCTAGACTCGCGCACAAGACGGGGAGAGTCCGGGAGACAGAAAAGTTCCCAGCAGGTCTGCTTTTTACCTGTCCCCTGTCAAGTTCGGGGCGGGGGTGGGGGGGTCCCCTTTGACATTACAAAGCGATCAAGGCACGTTTTCAGCCTCAATAATCCTGACACCGAGTGCTCCAGTATCACCCGGGAGGGCTGGCAAATTCAAAATTGTGGGAGGAGCCACAGGGCTTCGATTCTGGGGGTCAGAGATCGATTCGGAGAATTCGGATCTCTAGCAAGGCGTGGTGGGGTGAAAGATGGTCCGTCCGGCACAGCACCCTGAGCGCCACAAGACTGGCTGTGCCGAGGTGGGGCTGCAGGGCGCCGTGGGCAGTCGGGCGGCGGTGCGGCACCCCAGCAGCTGGCGGAGGCTCCTGCGGAAGCTGTGGTCCCGGAGGGCGTGGAGGAAGGGGTTGAGACAGCTGCTGGCATAGCTCAGGCTGGTGATGAAGTAGGAGACCGCGACAACCAGCGGCGTCTGCGGGAGGGAGGTCGGTGGTGAGCGCCACCACTGTGCTCACGTGGTAGGGCGTCCAGCAGAGGAGGCACACGGCGAGGATGGCCACCACCTAAAGAGTTACCCGTTTCTTAGCGCGGTCCAGGGCCTTGGCATGACCGTCGTCGAGGCGTATGGCACGCAGTCGGCACAGCAGGGTGATGCAGAGAATGCAGATGGTACACACCGGGATGGCGAAGCCGAGCACTAGTGTGTAGAAGCTGTTCTCCCGCCCCCAGAAGGCCTCCGGCTGGTCGGCCCTGCTCCTCATCCAGGTGAGCAAAGATCACGAAGGGCAGCACGACCAGCGTCACAAGCCCCCACACAGCCAGGCTCACCGCAAGCGCCGCACCGTACGTGCGCGACTCCACGGTGGCCGGCACCACCAGGTAGCGCTGTCGGCGCTCATGACTGTGAGGAAATAGAGGGTGGAGAAGTGTTGTACTGGTCAATAGCCACGATGAGTTTGCACCTGAGCTCCCCGAAGGGCCCTGCCGCAGCAGAAAATCGGCGATATTAATGGGCAGCACGACCATGAAGAGCTCGTCGGCGGTGGCCAAGTGGAGGATGAAAAGGTTGGTGACATTCTTTTTGCGGGGCGTCCGCAGCAGCATGTACAGCACCACAGAGTTACCCGTCAGCCCCACCGCACGGATCACCGCGTAGACCACTAGTATGGCCACGGCAGCGGCGGCGGACTCCACGCTTTGGGGCAGTCCCCGGAGGTGCCAGGGCACGAAGCGTTGGAGGGCTCCAGCTCCGAGGACGCGTCGTGCATCTCCGCGAGGGTCAGGGTGCAGTCCATTCGGGTTTAAACACCCCCGCCCTGTGGGGCTCCAAACCCTTCTCTGGCTCTTTCGGGAAGACGCGTTCCTGGCCGCACTCTTAGCTCACTGTCGCCGCAGACTTCGGGGTCTGCAAAGCAGAAAAAAGCATAGATTAGGCTCCTGGACCTGTAACTTTAGGTAGACGGTGCAGGACCAGGCGGCAGGGGGCAGCGCCCCAAACCCGCCCCTTCCCCCCACCCCCACCCCCGCCATCGTTCTGTGCCACCTGTTGAAATCTTGTCACCAATTCAATACGTGAAACGAAGTGATAAGAGCGAAAAGAGTCCTTTCTTTTTATAGGAAAAATAGGAAACTACCCCCCTTGTTTCATGATACCACTGTCAGACCCAGGTTATCCCAGCGAATGCTGCAATGGCAAGCACGGTTGGGTCACTAGCTTCCGCGCTCTCCGTAACCGCAAACTCAACCACAATCTCCACCTCACCTGGCTGGAAAAGGGTAGGCTGTTTCTGGAGCGGCCAGGAGAGGAGGACACAGGCTGCCTGCGAGGCTGCGGCGCCAGCCGGCAGTGCGTCAGTCTCCCAGGGCGAGTGTGTCCTCGTGTCCCGCAGGTGCGCTCGTAAACTTAGGGGTGGCGCAGACGCAACTGCACTCCACTGACCCGTCGGTCACCCCACCACCCCACCACCAGTGAAACCGCACTGGAGAAGAGCATTGCTCAAAAATTACGGAATTCTTTTTACTGTTGTGTAACCTTGTCACATTTGAATCAATGAAACCTCTCCTGTGAAGAATTAAATTTAAGAAAACCAAAGTTAGTGTGTTGTAAAAGAACAATGCAGTTAATGCTTACATTATTTTTTTTAATTTTATTAAGAGAGCGATCAATTTTGTTGTTCCATTTATCCATTCACTCATTGGTTGATTCTTGTATGTGCGTTGATGGGGGTCCAATTGGAAACCGTGGCGCATCAGGATGACCCTTCATCCTGGACTACCCAACCAGATCCATTCTGTTTTTCAAAGGTAGGCAAATGGGCTAGCATAATTTTAAATTTCAAATTGCATTCATACTGCATTGCCATACCGAAAAGAAAAGTAAATGCAGTTTTAAAATGCAAATTACCTGTTTTCATATGCTCCTATCTTTGCACAATTACAAGATTGTTAGTAACAAATAATGGTAGACAATTTGAGATATTTAGTGCTTTCTAAAAACATGTCAAAGTAATGGCTGTATTAACAAAGGCAAACTGCCTCTGACAGCCTTTAGGGACGTTTAATAAAACGCTGCAAGTTGCTCAACACACAGCTCTGAACCTCCCCCTAAAGAGAACTAACTACCTTGCACTCTGCTGACCTGGCCTCCAACAGTTTCTCAGGGAGCTTTGAGTTCTTACTCTCTGAAGCAGAACTCACATGAGCACCTCACCTTTGTGCACTGAAGGAAATAAACTAAATATCAGTTCTCTCTGATTCATATTTTCTTCCTTCACCTTTCCTTTGGAAGAGTTGGCAAATTAAAACGCAGAATTCTATCCAGCTATTTTCCTTCCACAAGAGCAGGCAAATGCCCAAATAAAGTGCAGTTTTGATCCTTCATGATGCATTTTAGAGAAGAGGACCTGGGAGACTGAGAGACTCTACCTAGCCAGCAGAAGAAGCCTTTAGGGATGGAAATACAAACACTTTTCCTTTACCCACTTCCACTCAAATCTCTCAGCTAGGAACCACATAAATCTGGCTTCCCTGAAGTTTCATGCTTTGTGTGAAGAAAAGTCTTAGGCTACATCCATAAGAAAAAAATATGTGACAAAACAACATATAATGTAAAATTAAACAAAAATAAAAATTATATATGATATATATGATAAACAGACACATACAGAATTATCTGTGTATATGTATGTGCATATATATATATACACACACACATATATAGTTGCCTAATTTTCAAATATTTAGAAATTTTCTAGATATTAATTAAGATTTCTAACTTAATTGCACTGTGGACAGATAACATAGAATTCATTGGCATTTGTTGAAAAATGCTCAGTATATATTTTTCCAATTATTTAATATATACTTATGAATAATGCTCTAAAATTTTCTATTTTTTCAATTTTAATTGTTCAAGTACAATTTTCTGTTTTTTACTCCCATCCCAGATCACCCACCCAGTGCTCCCCCCACTCCCTCCTATTTCCACCCCACTAATTTTTGTCCATGTGTTCTTTATACTTGTTCCTTAATGCTCTAAAATTTTTGAATGCAGAGCTCTACATGTGTCAACTAGTTAAATACATTATTTACTTAAATCTATTGGTATTTTTATCTGGTTGTTTTATGAGTTGCTGACATAGATGTATTAATAATGTCAAGTTAGATTCTTCTGTTATACTTTCAAGTCTCTCAACTTTACTACTATATAATTTGATACTGTTTTATTACATGCACACAAATATAATATTGTTATATTTTCCTGTGCAATGGGCAATTGTATCATAAAATATCCTTCTTTAACTGGATTATTTCTTCTTGCTGTGAGTGATGTTCTTTGTTCGATATTATTACAGCTACGCCAACAGTAGTTCCCTTAGTATTATCATGAAATATCTTTGGTTAAACTTTCTACATCCTTATGTTTAGCCTATGTCCTGTATAAGCATTATAAAGGTTGGTCTAATCCAGTCTAACAATTGTCTTCAAATTGGATTATTTCTTAATAATATATTTAATGTATATGTAGTTAATGCTATAGATAACATTAGGATATACCTGTTATCTTTTGTTTTCTACTTTTACCTTATTTCTGTCCCTTTTTTTTCCTTTTTTACATTCTTTTGAATTATAATTAATTTTTTATTATTCAGTTTCCTTTACTTTAGTAAATTATTAGTTCTAGATGCTTTTATTATTTTAGAAGTATCCTACAGATTACAGTATATATATTTTACATATTAATGTACAGCCTACATTATTACTTTTGCAACCTTCCTAATAATGCAAGGACTTTTTAAATTACTGTGGTGACATTGGTTAATAAAATTATATGCAAGGACTTTTTAACACAAATTCCATTTGCATCCCTCCTCCTTTTGTGCTGTTAATACATCTTCTATATCTATATATACTTTAAACCCTACAGAACATTATTATTACCACCATTATTGTTGTTTTAAATAGTCAAAGTGCTTTCATAGGTACCTACATACTATACTTTTGGTTCTCCTTATTCCTTCCGGCATCCATCTCCTTCTATCTAGTATCATCTCCTTTATCATTAAAGAACTCCCTTATATTTTAAGTGCTGTGCTGTTGGTGATAAACTCTCACTGTTGTTCTTTTGGCATGAAATTTCTTTATTTTTCTTTCATTTTTTGAAGATGTTTCACTGGCTATGAGATTCTGGACTTTCTGTTGTTTTACTGCAACAGTTTTAATAATTTTCTATGTTTTTTCTTCCATTCATTGTTTTATTTCTTTAGGATTTTATTTATTTGTTTTTAGAGAGAGGGGAAGGATGGAAGAGGGAGAGAAACATCCATCTGAGAGAGAAGTATCAATAGATTGCCTCTTGAATGTGCCTCATCCAGACCAAACCTGCAACACAAACATGTGCCCTGACCAGGAATCAAACCTCCACATTTCACTTTGTGGTACCCGGCTGAACCAACTGACCCACACTGGCTAGGACCAGGTTTGAATTTTAGAGTTTCTAAGATCTGTGACTTGATATTTTATTTTAATTTTGGAAAATTCTCAGCATTCTCTTATCAAGTTTCACCTCCATCTATACTCTCTTTTGTTTTTTACTGGGAGTACTATTACAATGGGGGTGTTAGACCTTCATTCTCTTTTCTGTCTGCTACTCATCATTTTCCTTTCTGTACTTTAATCTGGCCTCTTAAATCCTGGCTTTTTGGTTGGTTCCCAGTACCTTCACATACCTGCTTCAGTCTTTTCTTAATTTTTATGGTAGTTCATAATGGGAAGATTTGTGTAATACACACTACTTTACCATAACTAGAAGCAGAAGTCAAAATATGAACTTTTCTAGACAGTGGGTCCTCAAAGAACCTGTTTTGTTAAACATTGATGAGATGTCATGGGAGCTTAACTCTCGTTTATATCAGCCTGTGATAAGATTGGTATAAGTTGTTTTGCTTAAAATACCAGAACCTATTGATGACCTTAAGTGAGGACTTACTATACAGTACAATACCACATTAAAAAGAATATTTGTATATGTTTGCTTCCATGTATACAATGTGTGTGTGTATATTTATGAAAGGATATATACTAAGATGTCACGAATATTTCAGTAGGATATGGATTTGGCAGTTTTATTTTCTTTGTATTTTTCTGACAAAATATTTATAAGAAGGATATATTACTTTTATAATAGTAAAAACATATTTATAAAAATTAGGCTTATAAAATATTACTGAGAAAAAATTAACAATAAATAGGAAGGTATTTCTTCCAGCACCTGTGAAATTACTGTAAGTACAAAAAATAGTGAATATATAGGTATGTAAATATACGTTTATATAGAAAACATACATTATATACCCTAAAGCCCACCCACAACATTGCCAAAACAGAGATTTCCAACAGCATTCTGTGCCGCCTGAACCAATTTTTACTACATAAAATGTTTAACTCCAACAACCTCATATTTTGAAAATTACGTAGTCAGATATTTTAATATATATTACCAAGAGTGTTACTATCTAGTGTAATCATTGTATCTTAGTTTAGTGCTGCTATAACTGCCAAAATTTATTTTCCTTGGCATAGAAAAAAATGATCAAGGCAGAATCAAAAGGTATAAACACTAAGGCTATAGTATTTGTCATAGTGAAGACTAATCTTTTCTCCCTAAAATCAGCAGCAACAAGACAAGGATATCTTCTCCCAACACTTCTAATAACTTTGTATAGAAGGTTATCCAGTCAGTGCAATAAGGAAAGAAAAATAAATAAAT